TTTGCAAAAGACCACAGCAGAGTTTTGAGAGGGAGGTTGCCAGGGTAACAGGGGGTGTGATGTCATCACAGGAAAAATGTGTCCTTTTAAAAAACAGAGCTTTGCAGGAAGGGGGAGGAAGAACTCCATGCAATTCAGTTAGGAGAGGTTGTACTGAGAGACACTCCTGGGTGTAATGTCATATAAAAAAACATAATAAAACATTAATATTTTTTTAAAAAAACTTCCCTATGCAGGGCTGCCTTCAGATGTCTTCTAAAGGTTGTATAGTTAATGTTTTAATGTTGTATTTTAATCTTGTTTTTAAGTTGTATTTCAATCAATTTGTTTTTATATCGGTTGTTAGCCGCCCTGAGCCCAGTCTTGGCTGGGGAAGGCAGGGTATAAATTATTATTTATTATATATACATCATCATCATCATCATTATTATTATTATTATTATTATTATTATTATTATTATTATTATTATTATCATCATCTCCTTGGCTTGGGAATCACATAACTCCATACCTTCCAACATTCCCCTGATGAGAATAGGGACATCCTAAGGATAAGCGGAACATTCTGGGATCATATCAGAAACTGGGGTGGCTTCTGTAAATCCGGGACTGTCCCTGGGGAAAAAGGGACACTTGGAGGGTTTGTAATGTTCTGCACTCCCTCCACCAAAACCCAGGTTGTAAATATGTGCAAAATAAACTAGTTTCTGCTGTGCCTCATTCCAAAGGAACATAAACCCTGGTTTATTTGCAAAGACCCCTGGAATCTTGCTTCCAGTCAGCAGAGATTGGGGTAACCTGTAACATTATAGTAGCATTAGCCCAATTCTGTGGCAATTACATGTTGCCTAGTCCACAGTTGCAAACAAAATAATGAAGGGGGTTGTTGCTGTTGCTCTCGGAGGAAGATCTAGGTTGGAGTGCAATGAGAGAATCCATGGAGGGACACAAGAAGAGTTTTCAAATAAGACAATGGGAAGCCCTTTCTGTGCAAATACAATTGTGCAATTTTCATTTTCTTGCTGTGAACCTTTCTAGCTCATTTAACAGTGGGCTTTATATCCACAGCATGGATTTTGTTTTGCTTTTCTGACCTTAATATAGATATATTCCCTACTACAGCTCATTCCTGGGTATATATCAGCTCGCTAGACTACATGCCACTGTTAGATCCCATCCTTTTGTTTCAATTTGCACATCTATTTTAGTTTGCCAGGAAAACTATATTGCTCTCTATTGTATGATTAAAGCTAAGTATTAAGGGTCTGCCTGAGCAAAGAAAAATACTTTATAATGTCAACCATATGTCAAAGTGAAATGAAGACCCTTACTTGCACTGGGCATAGTACTGGCCAGTTGCTTTGTTAGAGAAAAATCTTGGTTTTTTATTCTGTCTGTGTGTGTGTACATACACACATACTAAAAATTTAAAAACTGCTGGAGGCACTACCCCAGGTGCTGCATATTGCCCGATCGACATTTTAAGAACTTGATTGTTTAGTGAGGCAGCACCTGCACTTTGGGACTCCCTACCTATTGAGATCAAGCAGGTGCCTTCACTGTACATTCTTGTTTAGACAAGCCTAGCCAGATGCTTAGAATCTTTTTTAATTTTTAGTATTTTTAGTATTTTAACTTTTGTATGGTTGTGATTCTTCTTGATTTCACTGTTTTATCTTTTTGTAAACGTCTTTTAGGCTGGGTTTTTTTTACAATCAAGGAGTGTACAGTATCCATTTATTTAAATAAATACATACATAAATAAATAGGAGTGTTAAGGGCCATTGTGTACATTCACTAGGCCTCGTGGAGAATGTGCATATACTACTTCCATAGGAAATGTGCATCTCTCTGCTGAATTCTGTACATTCTTGGCCACATTTTGTACATTCGCTGGGCCATATGCACATTCTCCAGTCAGTATGCATAGTCTCCAAGAGACACGTTTTTTTTCTAATTTTTGTTCAGAAGTGTGCAATTTGCACTCCCTAGGCTGCTTATGGGCCATAACTTCCCACTGGAGGAGCAGCTGCGGGGGGAAGAATTATTGATTTATTTAATCAATATCCCACCCTACCTATAAAGGAGCCTTTTTTCTGCATTTCAGCCCCCTTTTCACTACTCTCAGCTGCTTCCCAGTCATCTGAGGAAGAAACAAGCGGGACTGTAGGAAAAGGAAAATTTTACAACCTCCCTTGCACTTCCAGAATTCTGGTGGAAATCCCCCCCCCAAATGCCCCTACTAATTTAGGAAAAGCTTAATGCAAGCATGGAGCCAATCACAGGGGAAGGGGAATTTAACAAACTGAGGAAGCGTTACCCAGCAGGGAAAAGAGGTCTGGGGGAGGAAAAAGTGTGAAGTACTTGCAATCCTGTATGTGATAAATGCCACTCTCTTGTTGAACAACCATTCATAACACAGATGGTTAAAAACATGACACAAACTTGCATTAACTGTCAGCTCTGGAAGCAACCCATGAAGAAAGCTGAGGGACAGGAGGATATGAATACTGCAACAGTTTCTCACACCTAGAGTTGTCCCTTAAAATCATTCACAGAATATTTTATGGCTAGAGAATCCAGATACAATTATTCCTGATCTATTTAAAAAGAATTGTTCAAGAGGGAGTTTGTTTTTTTTAAAAAAAATAAATTAATATGCACAGAGTACCCAGCAGGATTGACACTAACCTTTTCGCTGCACAAGGTGAAAAGGCTATGCTGCTCTTCTCCGCCTCCAATTTACAAGTAGTTGGTCCCTTTCTCATCTTTCAGAGGTGATGAACCATCTCTAAGGTGCACATAGGCCTTTTACAAGACATACCTGTACTCAATGTCATCTTAAAGACACTTTCTCATCAATATCACTTCCACATGAGAGGGCTGCCATTTTGGACAAAGATGAGAACTCGCCACATCCTTCATTTCCGCATTTTTCCACATGCACACACAAGTCCCTTTAACTTTTAAAAGAGACATAAATTTGGGCTTCTTTCTCAAAACAAATATCTAAAATTGCAATGTCACCCAATTTGCAAGGAAAACGTGGCTATTAATCAATTACCATATAATAGTTGAGAATAACTTTTGTTGAACCAAGCTGCCTTTAAAATAATGTGAGCCAGCTTCAATAAATACCTCATGTCCTGTACAAGTTCTATTTACAGTTGTCTGTCTCTTGATAACAAGTACTGAGTTGGATGTTCTAAATTTATTAACATAACCAATCATGAAGGTGGAAAAGCAACCAAGATGTGGTCTGATCTAAAAGTCCCAGTGGAAGAATGTCCTTGATTTACCGGACTTGATGAACTTTCTTAGCAAGCTTCTATAATTTTCAAATGTTGTTTTTCATCTATTGCAATGTCACTCAGCTGTGTTCTTGCTTCACTTAATACTTGCCTTGAATCATTAAGAATTGACAATCTGGCCTTCAGCATCTTAAATCCACATCCTTGGGGTTTTCTCTGAACAAAACTAGCAAACTACCTGTGACACTTGTCACCAACACATCCATGTGTCACACTTATGTGTAACCACTAGAATAAGCCAACAGTCAAGAAATCTCACTTCCATGTAATGTCAATGTACTGATGTGCTTTAAGAAGAAACAAGATATCAATGACAGTAATTTGGCAAAAATTGGAGCGGTGTGTGTGTGTGTGTGTGTTTGTAAGGTCATACAATAAATGTAAATATGCCCCAAAGGCATATTTAGTCCCCAAAAAATGAGCCAGTTCTAAGCAGTTGCCTAATAGAACTTCCTTACAGTATAGTGAATAAGCAAATCTTATTTACTTATCTGAGAAAACATCAGACTTTTACCTAATTTTTACCGGATAGAGCAGTAGGAAGTATTATTCCCACAGAAACCCACTCCAGGCCCCATTGAATTTTAGAGTTTTATCAGTTACTACTATTTTCCCCTTTTCTCTTCAATCATGAAATATCTTGTTCCAAACTCCAGGCAGGTGCTGCTTTAATTACATTTTTGCTTTCTGACAAACTGCCAATTATGTCCATTCGCCATTTACAAAATCCAGTGTTTTGAAGTTTGCCCATCATTAAACATTACCTTCCAGCGTTGCTTTGCTTCTGTCATTAAGTGCTGCTTAATCTTAAATGCCAACAGTCTATAACCTGCGTAGATGGTAATAATACGGCTTTGGCAGGTGCCCAATAAAAGGACTTAGGTGCACTTAGTAAAATGGGCTATCTCTGACAAATACAAAATTCTATATTCTCTGCCAGCGTTCACATATGTAATAGATTCACAAACAAAAAATCTGATATCGCATCTATCTAGTTCTGTCTACCTTATTATTGTGATTGGTTCAGGAAAACGTTATGTATTGTTTATATTTTGGAAATTCTGTCCATAACCATTAGAAAATGTAAAACACAAAAGTAGAACTGAATTTGTTTTTGTTTTGTTTGTTTGCTTTGCTTTGTCTTTTTTTTTTTTTTTTTTTTACTCTTAATGGTTATTTATTCGAAGAAATGAAGCTGTATGAGATTACCACTTTGGCAGAACTGATTGTCTGGAAAAGCTCACACAACCCTTCCTTCACTTTCAAACAACATGTGTTGAGAATCATAAAATCATAGAATTGTAGAGTCGGAAGGGACCCTGAGAATCATCTAGTCCAACCCCCTTCAATGCAAGAATCACAATGAAACCATCCCCAAGGCTTTTGCAGGTAACTAAAAACACCACTGAGTTTCCCAGAAATAGTAAGGGTAAGTTGTTTAGTTATAATACAGCAACACTATAAGCTCTGCTCCGAGCTACTGCAGTGTGGACTTCTGAGATCTTTGGAACTTGCAGAAAGACTCTCCTACAGATTGCAGCAATCTACTGGGTGTATAAGGGATAAGGCGGTCTCTCAAGTAGCCTGGTCCTGAGCTGTATAGGGAGTTGGAGAGAAGGACAGCAAAGCAAACTCTTTCAATTGAGCCCAGGGAGTAAAAAGTTTGAAAATGCCTGCACTAATCTGAAATTTAAAACATTAATTTAAAATGTTGATTCGAATCTGCCAGAAAAGAATCCATTTTCCAACAGCTTGTTGATTCTTAAAAAGCAGTCTATAGTATTTGTTCAGGTGGACCACAAGACCATGACTAAAATAGCAGAAGAACATGTTGCAGAGGCTTCTGTACAGAGTCCACTGCATCCTTTTGTACTGAAATAACATGTCTGTCTGGTAATGCATTTGGTCACAACAGAAACATCAGAATGCCCTTCCAGCTGCTTGCTTATTTCTTCGACCAAGAGGAACATGATAAGACAAGGAAAATTAAGAGAAATGGGAAGTCTGGATTGGCTTCACATGCTCTATGGCAAAAGACACTGTGACTCTGAGTACTTTGGAAAATCTGGTGTTAAGATAGACTGATTCCAAGGTGCTCTTCTAATAGAGTCCAGATAATTCTAAAATGTGTGTCCAAGAAGTGAACTTCTTATGACTTTAATGAATCCTACACACCAACATTCTTAGCTGTTTATGCGTTTGTGAATTTTAAGCCAGGTTAGTCTATTAAATCAGGGAAGAGAAATTGAACCATGAACCTTTTTTTTAAAAAAAAAACCTTCAGGGAGGGGTGACTTGCAAAGGAAGCTAGCAGGCTAATTCAGAAAAAAATGTATATTCAGTAGCTGGAAGCCATGCAGTTCCCTGTTTAAATTCAGGAAACCAAGATTACCTTTGTGCCTTTAATCAATAGATCTCCTACTGTCAAACTGAATATGATGATCTGTGATGATGGTAGCCAAATCCGATTGATGAAATGTCATCTTTGTAGCTAAGATGAAAACATACAGGTTTTATATACTATAAGCAAAATTTGCCAGGCTGATGAACTTTATAACAGTATCTTTCCACAATAAGCGACATATTACTATGTGTTTACACAACACAGAGCACCAAGTTGTCAAACAATGATAAATCATTACTCTGGATACTTTCTGTAGGTTGCTGCGGGTTCTAAATGTCATTTATGAAGTGTACTAGCAGAAATCAGGATGTTGCCCTTGGAAGATGTGATTTTCATTGAAACCTCCCCTGAATTTCAACATATATAATTTACTCGTAACCATGTTGCTTATATTGGCAAGTCTATCCCTTTATGTTCTAGAGCTTTCAGCCTAATAATGTAACTTCGCTCTCAGAAAAATATCTTGATTTACATAGCCAGCAGGTTATTGACTCTGGAACCACAATGACAAAAGGGGCACCCTCAAAATTACTTAAGAGAGGAGCCTTTTAAGTTGAATACCTCTCTTCCCATCCCTTTCAGCTTCTCAAATGAGATGTATTCACCGTAAGGCAGTATCCAAGTTCTAAGTCTCCCAAAACCTGGAGCCAGCCCTGCTGAGTTGCTTTATTTGTTTAAACAAGTTTGCTTTATCATATTAACAATTACAATAATATGGAAACCTCTACTATAATTTGATATGTCCTAGTTTTTCAACTGATCATTTATTTTTTGGTAACCATAGAATCTATTGTATATATATGGAAATTTGAGGCAGGAAGCAGTTTTCTAAAAGTTCCTCTAAAGGCCTCCAAGCACACCACTGCAAACAGTATATTGAAATGAAATATTTCACAAATGGGAATTGGGCCATTTCGCCACCTCAGTTTCTCATCTGTATTGATGAGGGGGTGGAGAGATGGATAGAGAACAAAAAGCAGTCACGTATACTAGCTGTTGCCCAGACCTTTGCCAACAACATTTAACACACACTTTAACCACTGTTGTTGTTTCTGATTAGCTACTTATTTTGTTGCCGAAGCCTGAAACTGCCAATTTCAAACACCCATATCCTGCAGAAAGAGTACTTGACCAGTACTTTCCAGACAAGCAGCTGTACAGATTTGTGTCTAAATGAATTTTAAAGCAAATGGAGAGAAAAAAACACTGAATGCTGATCCCAGGAAGTTTAGAACCCACAGGGCAAAATTCATATAAAATTAAGCATGTTTCAACGCTATTGATTTTGACTGGGGGGAAATTAAGCATATACAGTACTTAATTAAAACAGTAGGACTTAAAAGTGCATATTATGTTACATTTTTGTAACAGAATTACTTCTAGGACATTTTGTCCCACAATATTTGTTATTTGGGTCTCTCCCCCTACCTTCATTCTTCCATACAATTTATCCAACTAGCTCCATACAATCTACTTAAATATTCCCCACACCTGTATGCAAAAATGTACTGTGCACACAGACTTTTTACCTTGACTGAATTGCTGTAATAGGAACCCTGATGAAGGGACTGAAATATTGGTTCCGCTCACCAATTTGCTCCTGTACAAGCTGAGATTCAGACTAAGCAGAAACAAGTGTAAAGAAAAATAACTGTACAGAAATGAAAAAGAAAGGGCAGAAACTGAAACAATATTTCAAAGTAGGAAACAATAATAAATGCATTTGTAACATTATTTGATTCCTGTGTTTGAAACAAATGTAATTTAGTGATATTACACTAGTGAATGAGTAGCAGCAATTCTAAACACACAGACCTGGGAATATTTCTCTTTGAACTCAATAGGATTGACTTCAGAGTAGACATGCACTGAACTGCACTGTCAGTAAAATCAAACATTGCAACTTCTTATTGGCTGTATAACTCATATTGAAGTCAATTCACACCACATAACAGCAAGAGTCTGATACTGTTCAGTCATTTCTGTTGACCAAGCATTTCAACAGCCTTTAAAGGTCATAAGCATAAATATTAGTATATGCAACAAATATAGAAATCATAATTTTAAAAATCCCATGTGTTCCTATAGTATCCAAAGATTTCATGCCTCCTCCCACAAGTCTTTTTTTAAAAAAATTGTCCTTGACTTTTAACATTATTGTTTTCCAAATTTTCTCTAAGCAAATCCACCTCACATTACTGAACATGTTCAAACTGGGTCAACTTAGAAGTGATCCCTCAAAACGCTATAACAGTAGAGGTTTCACTGAAGTGAAGATTTGCACTAAGGAAATACAGTTTTGAGGATGACAACATTAAACAAGAACTGAGTACCAACTTGCATCATTTTTAAGGTTTCTTGTACCCAAAACAGCTATGGGAGGGGGGGGGGATTAGCAACACTGATAATGAGATCAAAAAGAATCCTTCACCTTGTACCAGATCAACAAAGGATTAGTTCTTGTCACTAAATGTCAGCAGATAACACTTGGAATAAAACACAGAAAACAGATTTGTGGACAGAATAAAGTTGACATATTTGGATGATGGATTTACTTTGAAGTTTCCAGCCATTGCAAGTCTAACTCTTTTAGACAAACCTCTTGCCCAAAATACCAGTCTTAACAATTGTGTGGCATATTGACAAGATGACATGTTGTATAACACAATCAAGGGAGACTGTCAAATAAAATGGAAGAATTTATTTATGGATGAAAGCATTATTTGGCAATCAAAGTTGCTGTCTGAATGCAAAGTCACAGTTCCAGCTGATAATTGTTAGGTTGCTCATTAGAATCCTCCAATTTATTCCTGTGATAATTAATGAAAGCAAATGGTCTTTTATCTATTCTTCCTTTCCTTGTTATCCTTCAAGCATATGCTTGAATTGTACCCTGGAATACTGAGGGTGCTGGTTTATTTAAAAGAGCAATTTGGAGCTAACATTGTAACAGCATATCCACTTCCTATAGATTTATATCCAAAAACATACAGATTGAAAACATGGTTTTTGTTCACCATCCCTTTAAAATAATAAACTATGCTAGACATATTCATAGGTGACAATTTACCTGGCAGCCTTGGACTGCAATCCTAAACATACTTACTAGGAAAAAGAGACCATGGAAGCTGAGTGAATTTACTCCTGAATAAACAAACATTCTCTGTGACTTTCACATGTGCCTATTGGACTTATCCTGAAAGTAGACAAACTGCAGAAGGGTGGACTACTATTCACCTTGTTGTTGTTTAGTCGTTTAGTCGTGTCCGACTCTTCATGACCCCATGGACCAGAGCACGCCAGGCACCTCTGTCCTCCACTACCTCCCGCAGTTTGGTCAAACTCATGCTGGTAGCCTCAAAAACGCTATCCAACCATCTCGTCCTCTGTCGCCCCCTTCTCCTTGTGCCCTCCATCTTTCCCAGCATCAGTGTCTTCTCCAGGGAGTCTTCTCTTCTCATGAGGTGGCCAAAGTACTGGAGCCTCAGCTTCACGATCTGTCCTTCCAGTGAGCACTCAGGTCTGATTTCCTTAAGAATGGATGCATTTGATCTTCTTGCCGTCCATGGGACTCTCAAGAGTCTCCTCCAGCACCATAATTCAAAAGCATCAATTCTTCGGCGATCAGCCTTCTTTATGGTCCAGCTCTCACTTCCATACATCACTACTGGGAAGACCATGGCTTTAACTATACGGACCTTTGTTGGCAAGGTGACATCTCTACTTCTCAAGATGCTGTCTAGGCCTGTCATTGCCCTTCTCCCAAGAAGCAGGCGTCTTTTAATTTCGTGGCTGCTGTCACCATCTGCAGTGATCATGGCGCCCAAGAAAGTAAAATCTCTCACTGCCTCCATTTCTTCCCCTTCTATTTGCCAGGAGGTGATGGGACCAGTGGCCATGATCTTCGTTTTTTTGATGTTGAGCTTCAGACCATATTTTGCGCTCTCCTCTTTCACCCTCTATTCACCTATAGAACTCTTTATTACAGTTCTGTAACGTCAAAAAAGCTCATTCATTTTTTTACCAATTCATCCCTATGGTGAAGAAGTCATATTCAAGGCACAAGCACAGAATGCACATTTGCAGCATTTACTTATAACAGAAGAAGACTGTGCTTACCCTATCTCAACCCACACCAGTACATTCTCATTTGCTTGGACTACTGCAATGTGCTCTACGTGGGGCTACCTTTGAAGGTGACCCGGAAACTGCAATTAATCCAGAATGCGCCAGCTAGACTGGTGACTGGGAGTGGCTGCTGGGACCACATAACACCAGCTCCCAGTACACTTCTGAGCACAATTCTAAGTGTTGGTGCTGACCTTTAAAGCCCTAAACGGCCTCAGTCCTGTATACCTGAAGGAGTGTCTCCACCCCCATCGTTCAGCCCAGACACTGAGATCCATTGCCGAGGACCTTCTGTCGGTTCCCTCATTGTGAGGTTACAGGGAACCAGACAGAGGGCCTTCTCAGTAGTGGCGCCCGCCCTGTGGAATGCCCTCCCTTCAGATGTGAAGGAAATAAGCAGCTATTTTATCTTTAAAAGACATCTGAAGGCAGCCCTGTTTAGGGAAGTTTTTAATATTTAATTCTGTATTGTTTTTAACACTTGATTGGAAGCCACTCAGAGTGGCTGGAGAAACTCAGCCAGATGGGCAGGGTATAAATAAATTATTATTATTATTATTATTATTATTATTATTATTATTATTATTATTATTATGCTGCAAGTAAAGAAATACCCCTTATCGTTGCTTAGTGCCAGGCTGGCATCTACCAAAATGCAGTAACAACAATAATATGCTAGTAAAACAAATGGACACAATTAACCATTCTTTGTCAACCTACTGAAATAAATGAAACTTCCACAAGAGTACAGAACTCCTTTGCATGTTCTGTTTATTTCAGTGGTGCTGGCATAGAAGAAGTTCTGATGAATCATAACCACTCAGCATTACTGAATTAGAAGGACAAGCACCAACTAAGCACAAAGAGGTCATTTTTAAGTACCTTGCGGGAAATGCCAAGTTCCAGGAGTGTGGGAGTCCTCTGCAATGCACCTCTCCACTGAGCCTTAAACTAGGAAAGATGGGGCATACAAAGTGAGAATTCTATCACATTGCCTCCGACTTTTCTGAGCGTGCAATGCCAAGTGAGAATGATAATGTTACTTGGACATTCTTAGGGCCCTGGCAAATGCATGACCTTGCCACTCTGTGTAGCTGCCCCTGCCTGGAAGGCTGCCATTCAAGTGGAAGAGAATTTTATATTTCCAAATCTTTGTCCTACTGTACATTATGATGCCAAAAATCTGTCTTTAGTTATAGTATCAATGACTCACCATGTAGAGCCCATGTCAAAGATACTAAAGTTTTTTCCATATTGCTCTAATTAAACTATCATGTCTGTGCAAGAGAATGTTATCGTAGGATAATAGTATCCTGCTGCTACATAAATGCCAAAGCAAAGCTGGAGACATTTAAGGCAAACTCTTGAAGCAAAATATTTACTTTCAGAACAGGAAACATCAATTCACTCCTCCATCTTTTATTATGGAGACCAATGCCCCACTCCCAAACATACTTGCATGCACGAGAATTACATTTAAAAAGTCGGACTTGCCTGCATTTAAATATACCTTAAGACTGAGTTAATAATTCCTATTCAGTTTAATAAATAAATACAGTAAAATATGTATAAGAGAATAAAGATTTATCGCTTTGTGAGCTGGATATATACATGTAATATTGTAACAAATGTACACCAAACAGTTGCATCCTTACTGCCTAGCTTATGATCAGTTGAGAAAAAGCAGCATCGATTGCTGCTTGGGAGGAACTATTTTTGTTGGAAATGTTGTGCAGGAGAAAAGGGTTAAATCTCCACTTTCCATGTGCTATTGCCCCATTCTCTGTGGCTGCATTTTTAAGAATATATATATATATATATATATATATGGACAAGGGTGGCGCTGTGGTCTAAACCACTGAGCCTAGGGCTTGCCGATTGGAAGGTCAGCAGTTTGAATCCCCGTGACAGGGTGAGCTCCCATTACTTGGTCCCAGCTCCTGCCAACCTAGCAGTTTGAAAGCACGTCAAAGTGCAAGTAGCTATTTACCGTTCCAGCGGGAAAGTAAACGGCGTTTCCATGCGCTGCTCTGGTTTCATCAGAAGCAGCTTAGTCATACTGACCCGGAAAAACTGTCTGCGGACAAATGTGGGCTCCCTTGGCCAGTAAAGCGAGATGAGCACCGCAACCCCAGAGTCATTCGTGACTGGACTTAACTGTCAGGGATCCTTCACCATATATATATGGGATATATATATAGATATAGATAATATTATATTTCTATACTGCCCATCATCTGGGGATCACAGGGCAGTTTACAACATAAAAACACAAACATACATACCATAGTAACAAACTTTATATACTAATTGCAATCATTTAGTAACAAACAGCAAATATAATAAATGCAATCATAGATATATGTAGTTTGACCCTAAGAGTACATAAACCAAACATTGCAGTGACTTAATATGCAGTCATCCTTAAAGGCCATCCTCTGAACCCCTGTTTAGGTGGGTGGTGACTGAAGAGATGGCCAGCTTGATTCCTCTCCCCAGAGAGGCTTGTCGGATGGCAATTTTGACATAATTTTAGTGCCAATACTTTTTTTTCCCCCTGACATTTTTGTCATTTGGTGTAAGCTGGCTGTAGTTTATTTATCTGTTCTGCTGAATTTAAACATTGCTTTTAGCTGTTGCTCTCTGTCATTTTATCTCTTTGATTGCTGTTAGTTTTATATTTATTGTTATTATGGTATTTTTTTTGCTCCTATTAGCTTCGCTTTAAGATACCATGGAAGCTTTAGTGAGCAGCAGCATAAATATAAAATAAAAGTAATTATATTTTATGCGGCTAACGCACTGAGGTTGAATCTGGACAAGACAGAAGTACTGTTTCTGGGGGACAGGGGCTGCGCAGGTATGGGAGATTTCCCTGGTCTTGAACAGGGCAATTGTGCCCCTGAAGGACCAGGTGCACATGGTCATGAGTATTTTATAGCGTAACTGTAATATAAATTATATACAGTTTTCCCTTTAGTTTACCGTGACCCAAAGTCAACTTCTTGTTGAGTCAAAGGTGCACAACAAGTTCTGACTTGAGCATATGAGTGGGTATTATAGGGAAAGGTTAGAGTGGCCCTGCGAGAGGACTGGAGAGAGGAGAGAAATGTCAACTTAAACCAACCCCCTGCAATGCAGAAATACTGCCCACAGCTGTCCCTGGGTGGCCTTGAACCATGAACCTTCTAACAGCCAACCACCAACAGCCAGACACACTGACCTATTGGGCAACAGGCTCCATGCTTGGACCCATGCTCATCCCACCTGCTATTCCTTTTCATTGCATCCTGTTTTCACCATGTTGACCGTGACACTCACTGTCAGCATCAAACCCAATCCACTTGTTGGTCCCAGCCGGGTGCAAACTACATTTACTTGCAAATGATATGAAGTTCTGTTCTGTTTTAAAGAAAAGCAGTCTCAGGAGGCTGTGGAGGAGAAACACCCTTAATTCTTTGCGTTCAGTCTTCTTGAACTATTTTCAGTAGCAGCTCCTGGAAAAATGATGACCTGGATGCACCCTAAAACTAGAATATATAGTTAACAGTAAAAGCTATACATCTCAGACATGAAGGCAAACCCTTAATAAGGAGGAAAGCTTTTTTAAAAAAATTATTTCTCATGTTTCCACATTAATCATTTACCTTCATGTTACTCATCATATCTTCTGTCAAGAAATGAACTTTCTACCGAAACATCTCCATTCTTGCGGACCAGAGATATTAACTATTAATATGGTGAAACATGAAATACCAGTTTGTAGAGAGAAAGGCGAGCATTTTATTCTTTCATGGTTTAATTTAGTCATCAAAGGTTACTCACTCTCATGTTTATAAATTATATAGAGCAGAACTTAACTCCCCCAGATTAACCTGTTTGGAAATAATAGATTATGAAAAAGGAGATTCATAACCTTTAAATATCCAACCAGCCTCATTTATGAGGCCACCCCCCATTCTTTCCAGAATCTACAGCTCAGAAAAGAAAATATTTTTTTAGATGAAAGATGAAAAGCAAAAGAAGTTGGTACATTTACATTTCAGTTTGAAGCTACATGTTTATACATCTAGTAATCTCATACTTCTTTTACGGGGTAGCCATATTCTGTAGGGATGTGGGAGGTGCTGTATTCTGTATTCTTTGGAGACTACCTTTTCCTCCACAAAATGGGGTAGAAGTGTATTTTTCAACTCAAACAGATCCTTCACGTGTATGGTGAAGAGTCACAATATTCATGAAGTTGATGTCATCCAGCAATAAAGGATGTACGTTATGGAGCACATATACTCAGACATAGGTGAGACAAAATCAAAGAGATATTATTTCTGTATATAGGTGGGTGAAAAGGCAGCAAAATTCTACAGAAATAGGAAACTTCACTTCCATAAACAGAGTATAAAAGGGAAGCAATGGTTGAGAATCTCTCAGCCACCTTGTATTACTTTTATAATGTCAAGTATTTAGAGGGTACCCACAACCCAGTTCCTCAGTGTAGTTAGTAATTCAAAATTATGACATTTCCAGGCACTCCAACATTTAACTAACAAAAAGAGCAGTTGCAATTTGGAGGAGCAAAAATATTAATACGGTTGTGTGAGGGAACCATTACTTCCTTCATCATGATGCAGGTTATTGTACTTAATTTTGAGGAACCTGTAACATCCATTCCAACATTCTATAAAATTTACAATATCCAAATATGTCTTACAAGTATTAATAAGGTCTAATGGTATAAACCTCAATGGAATTTACAGAGCACTGGCTGTTATACCAGTCTATTTGGAAGAAAGTCAGTTGTATGTATGTATGTATGTATGTATGTATAGAATTGCAACTTAGTTCCTTCTACATAAAAATTCTTAGATCATGCAAGAAGGCTACATAAACAAATATTATAATAATTCCTGTGACGTAAAGTGAAGCTAGTTATAAAGTAGTTAAATATTCTGGACAGTGTCACTCTTACAGTTCAGATCCTACTCAGTAATTATAGAATATAAAAATCATGTCAATCCAAGCTCTTAAGGACGGAAAAAGCACCACATTCCAGCACTACATATTACTGGAAGAACACATCAGTTTAGGAATCAAAGAAGAATATTATTATTATTTTGTTTATTTATTGAATTTATATGCTGTCCTTCATCCAGAGATCACAGGGTGGTGTTCAACATAAAAACACAAAACATACTAATTAAAAAAAACTACAACCCCCTCTCCTCATGGAACAACTAAGTGGTTGTCTGCTGGAGACAAAACAAAATGTTCCTTATCCCTTTCAACAACTAAAGCAGGGGCAGGGCAATTAGTTGCAATTAAGTGACACATCCTAGCTTGTGACACAGATGAATGATCTGAAGCTTTTGTAACTTCACATAGGGGAAAAAATCTTCTTCTTTCATCCCTCCTAACAGTGTTTGCTTTACTTCCTCTTCACTTTCAACCTCCTCTTACTTTTCTGCTCTGCTTTCCATCTTTTTCTCATGTCACCACTAGCAAAAATCTATACTGATCCTTACACAGGGAATTGTAGCTCTACTACACTATGTTGCCATAGTTAAATGTGCAAACATTAGGCAGACTCTTACCAATTTGTAGCTGGTGGTCAATGATTGAAAAATTCCAGATCCAGGATATCTTATGTCCAAGATACAGCAATAACAGGGTTTCCAGAAGCCATCTAAAATTTTCTGAGCTGTGAAAAATTGTTTTGGAACTGCTATACTACTTGAAAAGCTAACTGAGCATAAGCTTTCATCAAGAACAGTTAGTCTGAAACAGTAAAGGTGGACAAAGACTACTTAGCAGAACCACAATTTTTCCCTGTCACTAACTACATGTCCTGGGCCCACATTACTGGATTTCTCCAAGGCTGCACACACACAATACGTTAAAAGCACATTTTAAAAGTCCAGGAACCAGTTCTGTGGGGATTCTTTGGGAAAGTGATGTGTTTTAAATGTATGGTGTGCATGCCACCCAATATGGCTCCTAAACCTAGCAGCACTTTATTCAAGGCAAATTTTGGGGTCCCTCACAATCTAGTATATTAAGATAAACATAATCTGAACCCTATTACTCGTGGTAATTACTGTTTGACCAAATCATGTGGGTATTGCTCAAACACAAGTTGGAAATGCATACAGAAGAGCAGTGAGGCGAGACCTGCTATACTTTAAGTATAGGCAGGTCCAAGCAGTACAAATGAAAAATGAAAAATCCTGCATTAACTGGGGCAGTATTGAACGGATTGGTTGGGCCTGAACACGGAAAGCCTGACTTCAAATCCTTGCTTGGCTATGAACTGCCCTGGGCAAATGATTCAACTGAAACTCCCCTCGCCATTGTTGTCAGGGCAAAATGGGATACTTAGGAATTTGGGGGGGGGGGGGAGAGAAGAAGTGTAGGGAGGGGTTGCAATTCCAGAAAGCAGAGCAAGCAATATGTGACCCTCTCCCCCTCAAGCTAACGGCTGCCGGCTAATGTGACATTCGTTTGGTTCTTGTTCCTCTACACCAGGATGCAAAGGTGATGAATGAATGGCAAGGCATACTAGTGAATAGCCAGCCTGGCAATGGTGGAGAGGAAGGGCAGGTGCCAAGGCTTAAGCCTGCCTGCAAGCCCTGTCCTTTGGGCTGGAAGCATTTCCCTCTAATTCAAAATGAGTGGCGGGCAGCTCTGGCTGAGAGCATTACTCAGGGCCAAGCTAGACCTGAAACTGATTGTGGGACTAACAATTAAAAGCGTGTGTTTTATTTCTGTCCTGGAAATGGTAACCTGGGGACAGAGAGATTGGGGGGGGGCAGGTGTTCTAAAATAAATGAACA